ATAAAATCTATTGAGGAGTGAAAATGAACCCACCTAAATAAAGTAGTCTGAAACAACTTATCTAGCATAGTTGTCTTAAATTAGTAGTAGATAGAAGATTTAATAATTCCAATGAAAAAAGAAACTACAACAATGCTACTGGATGAAAATACCCCTTAACCATCTAATGATGGCAGATAAATACAATGTGCATCTTTTCCACAACTCCCTATGGTTTTTAGGCTAGGCTACAGTTATAATATTCAGAATTCCTGAAATTATCCATGGTAAAATCTAGTAATAAAAATTATATATTTCAAGGATAACATTGTTATCTTAAGCCTTATATAATACTGTAATTTGCTTACTTCGGTCTCTGGATTTGGGTCACAATACTTAATGATCTTTCCATTGGAAATAACAGGCAATAGATAAAAGTTTTTGTTGTTACGGTGTCATGTGATGAACAATACTGTCTCAATTTAGCAATTACCGAGTTTGCTGGTGCTATTTTTATACACTGAAGTAGCAGCCTCGCAGGAAAATAAGAAAGTTTAATAATAAAACATTCAACTTCATTAATTTTTTTGTTTTGCTGTTAATATATCATTTAGTGACTATGCTAGTATTTGTGAAGATGTGAATTTTAACTTATTGAAAGTTTTTGTTTGTTTTAAGGTAATTGAAGCCATAACAAGGAAAGATTCCAAGAAAATGTTTCCTTTTAGTTATTCATAAATGTGATTTTTCTTAAGCAAAAATCTAATTGCCTGATAATATTAAGTACTTTTTGGTCACCTTTAATATCATGAAAAAGAAACCACTGATACTGTTTTTCTGTCATGCTAAGTTAGAAAAGAGAAGAGGAAAAACAAGGAAAGGTGAAAGTTTGATGAGTAAGGCACATAGATGGCATCCTTAAGAAAGTTAAATCATTCAGGTTTTCACAACGTAATCGGAATGGAAGTGAAACTTTTTGAGCTCAGACACTGACTTAGATAGTTAATGTTCTTTATAGTTTAAGCATATTTACAATCCCAAATGATATTTTAATTCAGCCAACTGTAACGTGGATATTTTTGGGATATTATATACACACGTAAATATAAATACTAGGTATACCAGTTAATAATGCGGATTTTTTCAATAGATGGAGTTACACATGTTGATATATATGCAATTTGATGTGTATGCTATTTTGTTGTTTTGACAAGCTTCAAAACTTCATATGTCAAATTTGCTGAAGGTGTTAACATCATAGATATTTTTACACTTAAAAATGTCGAATTTCGTGCCAAAAAAAGCACTTGTGGGAAGTTTTAATTCATTACTTTATTTTGAAGAAAAGTGCTGCTAAATACTTCGGGAAGCTTATGGTGAACATGCTCCATCTCAAGATACTTGTGAACGCTGGTTTAAAACGCTTTAAAAGTGATGATCTCAATGTGAAAGACAAAGAAGGTCCAGGTCAACCAAAAAAGTTTGAAGACCAACAATTACAAGCATTATTGGATGAAGATGTGTGTCAAACTCAAAAATGACTTACAGAAAGATTAAACGTTGCTCAGCAAACAATTTCCGATCATTTATAAGCAATGGGAAAGATTTTAAAGTAAGGAAAATGGGTGCCACATCAACTGAACGAAAGACAAATGGAAAACCGAAAAGTCATCAGTAAAATGTTGCTTCAGCGGCACGAAAGGAAGTCTTTTTTGCATCGAATTGTGACTGGTAATGAAAAGTGGATTTATTTTGAGAATCCCAAATGCACAAAATCATGGGTTGATCCAGGTCAACCATCAACATGCAAGGCCAAATCACTTCAAAAAGAAGACAATGCTCTGCATTTGGTAGGATCAGGAAGGTGTGGTGTGTTATGAGCTTCTAAAACCAGGTGAAACTGTTAATACTGATCGCTAGCAACAACAAATAATCAATTTGATCCACGCTTTGATCATGAAAGGACCAGAATGTGCTAGAAGACACGGCACAGTAATTTTGCTTCCTGATAACACACCATCACACACTTCAAAACCAGTTAAAGACACATTATAAGGTCTTGCCTGGGAAATATTAACCCACCCGCCATATTCACCAGACCTTGCTCCTTCAGATGACCACTTGTTCCGATCGATGGCACACGCACTTTCTGAGCAGCACTTCAAAGCGTACGAAGAAGTGGAAAACTGGGTCTCTGAATGGTTTGCCTCAAAACAAGAAAAGTTCTATTGGGATGGTATCCACAAATTACCTGCAAGATGGGGGAAATGTGTAGCTAGCAACAGACATTACTTTGAATAAAGTACTTTTGATGTTTCTCTTGAAATTATCGTATTTTCTTTGATTAAAAATCCGCATTATTAACCGGTACACCTAGTATATATGTGTACTCACACAGCAAGAGCACACGAATTCTTCCATCATTTTCCTGTTACTAGAAGAAAAAGAAAGTATTCTGACTAACACGTTCTGATGGTGAATGAACAGCAATGAGACTCCAAAGGGAGTAGAGAAATAAATAACATCTTTCCTGCTCCTCAGCAGACAGAAACCATTCTTTCCAAGACTGCCAATGGCCATATCACTGTTGAGATGTATCGTTGCACTTTTAGCAAGAAGGAATCCGAGATACCCTGGATGATTGTCTTTCTATTTTTGTAATTATTATTCAGGGTAATTAATTTGACTATCTGCTTTGGAAATAAAAATGGGTAATTATATACATTTTACTTTTTTGTTTTGAAGGTGCTCTCATATATTACCTTCTTTAATGTGCATAATAATAACCAGAGGTAGATAGCTACCACCATTTCACAGATAAGGTGATGGAGAGAATAAGTGATTGTTAAAAAGCTGGGCAGTCATGGTTAGGATTTTCACATTTCCTGGTTCCACCTTTATCAGTTTTTTAGCAAATGTTACTATTAAAAAAATACTTAAATGGGAACGGGGGGTGGGGGGTGGGAGGGGGAAGGATGAATGTTCTATAAAGGTGGGAAACAAATGGCCTTTCTAAAGTGAAAGTACATCAGTGATTGTAGTCTGAAAGAGATGAGCAGTTTGATATCATCTCCCAGTATTTTTTGTTTGTTAATCCTCACCCAAGGATATTTTTCCATTGATTTCTAGAGAAAGTAGAAGGGAGGGGAAGAGAGTCACAGAGAGAAACATCAATGTGAGAGAGACACATTGATTGGTTATCTCCCTCAGGCCAGGCGCCCCAACGAGGGCTGGGGATCCAACCTGCAGCCCAGTACATACCCTTATATATGTGTTTTACTATGGTCTTAGATGACCCCTGTGAGTCGTTTGACCCCCAAAGGGGTCGCGACCCACAGGTTGAGAACCTCTGGTATAGGGCCAGTTGACAGTATTTTTAATGAAAAACCACTAGGGGGCTCTGCATAGGCATGCTAATGTGAAAATGAGGCTGGTATTTCAGATCAACTTAGCAAAATAGAAATTTTGAATTTTTCTAAATTTCCCCAATTTTGGGGGGGCTGATAAAATGTACTGCTTACCTTCAGTTTATAGACAATCATGCTAACTATAACTGCCTTCATTACTGCTCTACAATCTATTACAGACTCAATCACACATTTCCCTTCCTCAGAAAAGGCCCTCACTTTACATCAAGATTAAAATCTTTTTCCTGCAACATGGCTTTAGTACTGACCACCTACCACCAGTATTTTTCCCCCTCTAAACAGACTTAATTTTTTAAGAGCAGATTTAGGCTCAAAATTGAGCACAAAGTATAGTTTCCATATACCTCCTGACCCCATCTTTCTCTGTTTGGGAGCATCCCTTTGCCAACTCTGAGATACTGTACTAGAACTGATGATATCTTGATTCAATCTATATTAGCTTGTTATAAACAACTGGCCAAACACACTCATCCCTTAATGTTTCTACTCAATCATGCTAGCAGGCTTTTACCTGCTAGATTTCATTAGTGATTACTAGTACATTTAATACATGCAGGCCTGACTAGTGTGAAGGAAATCAGTTACCAGATCTTCCAACTTTCACATGTACTTTCTTTCAGTCAAGAAGTTTAATTAATCATTTAGTGAATCTTAGTTAAGACTGGTATACTTCTCAGAAATTGAGAAAGTAGGTTTAATGAGTGGATAACATTCTGCTAAACAGATGTTTTTAAGTTTTGTTTTCAATAGAACTAAAGGAAGACCCAACCAAACTGTCAGCTGATAGATCATTAATTTTTTTTTTGTTGATCACCATGTGAATTCTGGTGTGGAAAGGAGTTTTTTAAAAAGTTAAGAGACTGCTATAACAAAACCACTTTCATGTGCATCTTTATATGAACAAGGTATCTCAGCTTACATCTATGAAAAACCTGGATATTAGAATAAAATTCTGTGGAGGATGCAGAATAAAAATAAAATTATGAACTTAAGGAGAAAAAGCAAAAGAAAAATTTCCATCTTTTAGTTTATTCATGTATTTTAAAATAAATGTTGATAGGTATCAAATTGTCATTAAATTTAGATTTCTTTCAATACTATTAAAAGAGTAATGTAACATTTTAAAATGCGTGCTTTCATGATACTCTGCATGTTACATCCTTGGCTACTATTTATGTTTAAGATTAAAATTTTATGTTTTAACAAAAAAAAAAATTGCAATGGGGTATGAGTTTTGTCTACAATTCTTTTTAGAAGCATGCAGGCATACCATTCCTTCCAGGCTGTGAAAGCAAATTATCCAAATATGTATGTTTTAGGTAAAGAAATGATAACTTAAAACAGATTCTATACAAGTACTTTGTTCTAACATCGTAGAATGTGATATTCGAAGACGTTATATAAAATAGTCTTTGCATGGGCTTGAAAGGCTTTCTAATTATGTTCTGTAAAAAAGGCAGAAGTACCTGTCTTTTTTAAAATATATTTTTATTGATTTCAGAGAGGACAGGGAAGGGAGACAGAGATAGAAACATCAACGATGAGGGAAAATCATTATTAATTGGCTGCCTCCTGCACGCCCCCTACTGGGAATCAAGCCCGAAACTGAGGCATGTGCCCTTGACCGGAATCGAACCCGGGACCCTTCAGTCTGCAGGCCCACGCGCTATCCACTGAGCCAAACCACCTAGGGCAGGAGTAGCTGTCTCCAAATGCCTTTTAACCACTGCTCTAAAGGACTTACATTCTAATATTTTTCAACAGCACAAATAGTCACACTTCTAAAACCACAATCAAACCTGAGTTGGGTCGACGCTCTACCACCTAATGCCTAGGCATAGGTTCCCACCCCTGGCTGCACCTCTGGGTGCCCAAATGTACCAGCACCGAAGGTGTGAGAGCCCTGCACTGTCTTCAAAGAGTTCCTCCGTTGATTTAAGGACGTGACGCTACTTTTCTTCATTTGTCTTTTTTTTTTTAAATCTCCCAATGCCCACTTCACAGAGCTGTACGGCTACACAAGTTCAGGAAGTGTTGGTTGTACCGCCAATGGATTCGGCCTAGTACTGTCTAGGCACGTAAGCAGGAGACCAATGGATCCTACTATTACGTTTTTTGGCCTACATCATCCTAGCACCATCGTTCTCATGGGGGAGGGGAGACTAGTGGTCAGCTGGCAACGTCGGGGACATTTTGGGCTCGCACGCTACTAACCATCCTGCAATGAACACGGCGGCCTCACCTCAGAAAAATTCGGCGCCAGAGCGAGACTGTCTGATGAGAGGCCCTGTGTCTCCGAGGAGAAGCCAGTCGAAAGGGCCCTCGCTTTCTAACTCCAGGGTCCGGGGGGCATCCAGCCCCTCGCTCACTCCCCTGACTGGCGTTTATGGCTCCACCGTACCGCGCCACGCCGCCTCAGGCGCCAGCAGCGGGCCTGGCCTCGGTGCAGCTTCCCCCGCGGCGGAGGGCGGGCGGCCGCGCAGAGCCTGCTGGGAGCACGCGCTCACAGTGGATTGCCAGCGTCGCCTCCCGCGCTCAGTTTGTTGCGCGAGACGGGCCCTGCGTCACTTCCGCTATGAGCCCCCGCGGGCCCGCCCACCACCCCTCCCTTTCGTGCGTCGTAACCCGGGGCAACTGTCGCCCGCCGCCGGCGAAGACTAAGCTGCCGGGGGCTTTCCACCGCACTGGCCCCACATGTGAGGGTGTGAGTGGCGGCGGCCGCTTCCCCGCCCCCAGTGCAAGGCCCCATCCCACTTCACACGCAGCAGAGCGAGAGCCCTGCCCAGTAAGAGAAGAAGCTGCCCTCTGAGACGGGGATGCAGAAGAGAGAGGTACCAGCACTGGGCTTGAGGGCGGGGCCTGGGGAGCAGCCGCACGGTGTGGGTGGGGCAGTGGGAGGGGCCGTTGAAAGGGCGGATCCCTATGAGGGCGGAGCCAGTCGTGGAAGGGGTGGGGCTTGGTGAGGCAAATGGGGAGGTTTTGCTGGAGTGGTTAGCTCTTGAAAGAAGAGAAGGCATCTTTTGTGGCTGGGTAGGAACTGCTGTTGGAAGGGGTGGAGGTAGATGAGGAAGACGGAAGGATCCAGGAAGAAGTGGGGGTGCCTGAGGGAAGGGAGGGACTATTAAGGGAAAGGGCAGAGCCTTTCCTATAGGAGAGACAGGTTGGGTCTGTGTTTGATGACTTGTTTTTCAGGTGGACTGTAAGCTGTATGAGAGCTGGGCATTGCTTCACGCTCTATCCCCAGTCCTAGGCATCTGATAGGCACTGAGTGAGTGAATGAATGTGAATGGAAAAAGTGGAAGAGTTGTAGACTGTGATTGGAATAAAAATGGTCTGATCCGAGGACAGATCGTTGTAGGAGCTGCACTCCTATGAACAATCAAAGCTGCTGTGCTCTGTGGGCACATAATAAGCATAAGGCACACATAATTAACATGGGGAAGTAAGACTTATACTCTTAAAAGTGTAAACAATTTACTCAAATTGGGTGGCGCTTATGCTTAACTTTGAGGCAAAATTTCAACTTACAGAATTGTGTTTCAAAATTATAAATCAGATTGAAGTCCCAATGACAGTTTCCTTCAGAAACTATATTACAGTGATCAGCATGCCCAGGTCAATCTTCAAGACCACTTCACATGGGTGAAGCTTAGCTCTGTATTAAGAAACTTAACTAACCCTGGCTGGTTTTTCTCAGTGGTCAGCTGTAGACTGAAAGGTCCCAGCTTTGATTCCAGGCAAGGGTATGTACCTTGATTGCAGGCTCAATCCCTAGATCCCTTGCCCTGGTTGGGGCTCGTGTGGGAGGCAACCAATTGATATTTCTCTCTTTGTTTCTCTCTCCTTTCCACTCTCTCTCTCTCTCTCTCTCAAAAAAAAAAAAAAATCAATGGAAAAATATCCTCAGGTGAGGATTGAAAAAGAAAGAAAGAAAAGAAAGGAAGGAAGAAAAAGAAACAGCTTCCACCATGGCTGTTTCTATTTATTGATTTCTTCAACACATAATGATAAGGTCCACAGGAACATCCATTTAGAAATCCAAGTGAAGCTGCCAGAAACCCATCTTTCCCTGGCTGAAATTCTGACATGGACTTAAGATTCCTTTAAACCTGAAACTTCTAGGAAGATGAGGGTAGGTATGGAGACATGGTGTGTAGAGCCAGGGAAGTGGTAAGGAGTTTTGAGGGATTACATCCTGCTTTTGACTTAAAAACCATGGGCCTTTCACTTCTGACGCATCAACATCACCCCACTGTTAATTGATTGCCTGACTATGTAGACAGGCAATGGCAAATATGTGGCAAATGTGCAACCACCATCCTTATTTGTTCCCTGACAGTCTTCATTAATCACAGAACTCTTTCCCATAGTGGCCAAGTCTTATGATCCTTCTCAACACAACACCCTAGGTAGCCACTACGTGTTTGGAACTGATAATTTGGAACATATTCTTCATACCTAATGTAGATAATAAATGTAAAAAAAATTAATGGACATCAATGTAAATGTAAATTTCCTTAACTCTTGGTAAGATTCCTTTTTGTTTTTAGTGGTGTTGCCTAAATAGATGGATCAGGAATCCTGTAGCATGTAGAAATGTAGGCCAGATAATTGTGTATGAGGTTGGATAATTAGTAAATACCCAATACCACAGATATCTATAGGACATTGTCCTTTATCCTCTCCTCAACATTTATATCAGTGATTTAGATGAAGTTACAGAAGGTATGTCTATTGACTTAATGAAGTTTAAAGTAGGAGTTGGAAGAAATGATTCAGAATGATCTAAGCAGGTTGGGGTGATGATCGAAAAACCAAGAAAAAAATTTCTTAGAAGAATCTGATCAATTTGGATGTCTACATCTAGCAAATTAGAAGAAAAAAATATATTTAAAGGAAATCAACAGCATGGGCATGAAGTCAAGAAGACAGGGATTATTAACAATTCATATTAGAAAATCTAGAAGTTATAGTTGACCTTAAACTCAGTGTTCTTCAGGATTGAGATATAGGCCCTGGCTGGGTAGCCCAGTTGGTTAGAGCATTGTGCTGATATGCCAAGGTTTCGGGTTCCATCCCAGATCACAGCACATACAAGAATCAACCAATGGCCTGTCCTGGCGTGGCTCAGTAGTTGAGAGTCAACCTGTGAACAAGAGGTCACCGTTCGATTCCTCATCAGGGCACATGCCTGGGTTGCAGGCTCCATACCCCATTGGAGGCAGCCAAACAATGATTCTCTTTCATCATTGATATTTCTCTCTCTCTCCTTCTCCCTTCCTCTCTGAAATCAATTTAAAAAAAAAAAAGATTCAACCAATCCAACGAATGCATAAATAATTGGAACAACAAATCTCTATCTCTCCCTCTCTCTTTCAAAAAAAAAAAAAAAAAAAGATTGGGATATAGCATTTAAAACATATAGCAATCTTTGTTGAATTAATAGGTGTAGATCAAAGGGATCCAGGTTTCAAAACAGATACTTCTAGGCAAACCGAATTTCAAGTACTGTCCTAATTTCCAGATACTACATTTTAAAGACATTGGTAAGTGACTGTGCATTCTTAAGATGAGGGAATTTGAGATTCTTATCTGAAGAAATGAGAACTATCTTCAGATATTTTCAGCATTGTCATGTGTTGCTTTTGGGAGGAATGCCAGGAACTGAGAAGCAAAATCTTCAGGCTTGCAGATGTCTTGATTTGAGAACATTCCAATTAAAAAAAAAAATTATATTTTTGAAAGTATTACAGATATCCCCTTCGTTTGTTTGTTTTTTCCTATTGACCCCCGCCACCCCGACCCTGCCCCTCCGAGGCCTTCACCACTTCGTTGTCTGGGTCCATGGGCTATGCATATCTGTAATAATAAAAGCGTAATATACTAATTAGACCAGATATCCTTCCAGATGTCCTTCCTTTTGGACAAAGCCACAGCAGGCAAAGGGTGGGGGGCAGGACACAGCAGAGGCAGCAGAGGCCCCCGGCTCCTGCGGCAGTGGGCAGGGGCCAGGGCCAAGGCCCTTGCACGCATTTTGTGCATGGGGCCTCCATTAGTTCAATGCCAGAGTGAGGATAATGTGGAGCAGAGACTACAGCATCAGACAATGGACATGTCACATGTGTTAGAAATAAAGTTTTATTGTTTTTTATCACTGGGGGGAAATTAGGATTGCTTGTTATTAATAGCATAACCTTGCCCATCTAGACTAATACTAGGTAGCTCTAGCTAACAGACAGTGACCATGCCAAACTGACCTGTACCCTGGTAAGGCAGACAGGGCAACCTTTTCCAAAAAGAACCTGGCAGGGCCCTAGGCAGTTTGGCTTAGTGGATAGAGCATCAGCCTGTGGACTGGAAGGTCCCAGGTTCCATTCCGGACAAGGAAACATGCCTGGGTTGTGGGCTCTATCCCCAGTGTGGGATATGAAGGAGGCAGCAAATCAATGATTCTTTCTCATCATTGATGTTTCTATCTCTCTATCCCTCTCCCTTCCTCTCTGAAATCAATAAAAATTTATTTTAAAAAATGAAAGAACCTGGCAGAGTGAGCCTTATCTGGGACAAAGTAAAAACAAAACAAAATCCCCAAATTCAGAGTTTTATGGATACTTTAAATATCAACTTTTAACTTCACTTTTATTAAGATGAATTGGGCACATTATCACCTTCTCCATCAAAGAAATACAGAGAATACAAAGTCCCTTTCTAAACTAATATCACATCCTTCTCTGTCTTCTTGTGTCTTCTGCTATCCTTAGTTTCTCTTCAGCTACTAGCCTTTGGAAATTTCTTTATGTTCTTGGTCAGGTGCCCTCTACTTCACATAGTTTTTTCTCTACTTACTTGTAAATAGTAAATATGGTCATTGTTCTCAGTTTACATTGATTTTAATCCCTTGTACTCCATTTTAACTTAATATATATAATTAATTTCAGAGAGGAAGCCAGAGGTGGGGAGAGATAGAAACATCAATGATGAGAGGGGATCACGGATCACATGGGCTGCCTCCTGCATGCCCCCCACTGGGAATGGAACTCACAACCCTGCCCTCCTGGTTCATAGGTTGACACTCAACCACCGAGTACACCAGCTGCGCTTAATTTTTTTTATATTATTATGGGAAGGTTCACACATATAAAAGTAGAAAGAAGTAGCCCTGGCCAGATAGCTCAGTTGGTTAGAACATTGTCCTGATATGCCAAGGTTGTGGTTTCAATCCCCTGGTAAGGGCAACCAATGAATGCATAAATAAGTGGAATAACAAAAATCACTCTTTTTCTCTCTCTCTTTCTCTCTCCCTCTCTCTAAAATTAATCAATAAAAAATTGTTCAAAGTTAAAAAAAAAAGTAAGTAGAGAGAATGCAGTTAACTTATATGTCCTCATACCCATCTATAACAAACAGAGCTTATGACTAAATAAACGTAATTTATTTTATCATAATCTCTCTAACCACAACCAGCACATGCCCCACACCTCCCACACCCCTTGCATGATTATTGTGAAGCAAATCAAAATGGCTTATCTTTAATTGATAAAATAAAATACACTATGTTACAGTTTTTTTGCTGATCATTTGCTTTCCATTTCTGTCTTTAAATGCTACTAGAGCCCTGGTGGGGTAGCTAAGTTGGTTGGAGCATCATATACAACAAAAGGTTGCTGGTTTGATTCCCTATCAGGGCACATATCTAGGTTGGTGTTTCAATACTCAGTCAGGTGCATATGGGAGTCCATCGATTAATGTTTCTCTCACATCTATATTTCTCTCTCCCCCTTTCTCTCTCAAATCAATAAAATCATAAACTTTGGTGAGGATTTTTTTAAAAAAAGCTACTAGAAGAGATATTTTCTAGATCATAGTGAATTTCCATCTCTGCTTCTTAGATTCTCATTCATCTTTATTTTCTAATATCTTAAGTTCCTTGATCAGTTTTTCTTCATGTTTATTCATGTTTATCCAAGCATGTACTTTGGGAGCTTGGACCTCAGTCAACATTTTCTTCTTTGTATAATTTGGTTTGAGTCACTCCAATAGTGTATGTCATGGAATTTAATACCTTCTGGCCTACATCTGTGTGCCTTCCTGCTTTGTACTCCAAATCCAATTTTTAGTTGCATCTGCAAATGCATTTTCCCATGGTAGCATTTTACAATATGATCTTTGTGTTTTCTTAATGTGATTTTCTTGGAAAAAAATTAATAACTGGACTTTGATGTTTGCTTTATACCAGTGACTCTCAAACAGAATCAGATTGTTAAGCCCACTGGAAGTCAAGAAGTGGAATAGTATGAACTTTTGATTTACTTCAAATATGTAAAGTAGGCATAATTTTACTATAAAAAATATGAGTATTATATCAGTGCAGATTTCTGTCTTCCAACATAAAAGTAAAACTGTATATAATTAATTGTAAGAAGTACATTTCTATTTGTCATCATTACAAGTGCTAGAAGACAAGAATGGGCAGTGAAACTTGAAGGCACACTTATAGACAGAAAACTTAAAATTAAGACTATCCTTTCCACTAACTGAATTTTTTCTGATTAGGAAAAGACCACCAATATTGTTTTAGTTGTGGAGCATCTTGATCCAGCTTGCTTGAAGATACCAGGGTTCTGGAGGAGCGATCCGGTATGTAGGAATCTGACCATTTCACTAAGAATACTATGTTTACTAACAGAGATGATTCTTAGTTTTTAGTCATAAGGAGGCAATATAGTTCTCATGATCCCCCATTAAATGAGTAAAGTGCTTATACAAATGTACTCATTATAACAAATATATAAAGTGCTTATAGGAAAGATTTGCACATAGTAATAGCTATATTATGGTAAGTTTTATTATTAAGTTGTTATTGTTACCTGGCTTTCTTTTGACACTTTGTAGTATGATGTGACTGGAACCTTTTCTGGTGGCCTCACTGGGTCCAATTCTACTGACTCCAATATACGGGCTTATCCAATATTGCATCCTTGGCCTCTGCTGTTCCTCTCTCTAGATCAGTGGTTCTCAACCTTCCTAATGCCTCGACCCTTTAATACAGTTCCTCATGTTGTGGTGACCCCCAACCATAAAATTATTTTCGTTGCTACTTCATAACTGTAATTTTGCTACTGTTATGAATCATAATGTAAATATCTGATATGCAGGATGTAGTTTCATTGTTTGCAACCCACAGGTTGAGAACCACTGATATATAGAGATAGCGATATAGTCTTCCTCTCAGATTTCACATATGCTCATGGCATGTGAGAAATAGTTGAAGGCACCAGAGATGGTTAACCTGAAAGAGAGAAGAATGCATGAACTTTTTCATAGGACTGTTGGGAGGCTGGGACAGTGGGCAATCTCTGTATCAATTATTCTTTAACCTTTTGTAGTAGCAGACTGCTTTAAACTCAGATGCAGGCCCTTCTCTGAAGAAAACTTGTTGAGCATCTTCAGAGGCACCATAGACGTGCTCGCTTCGGCAGCACATATACAGAGGCATCATAGACTTTTGATTTTTAAAGATATGTTTTTATTGATTTTTTAGAGAGAGAGGAAGGGAGAGGGATAGAGAGATGGAAACATGGACGAGAGAGAAACATGGTCAGCTGCCTCCTGCACGCCCCCTACTGGGGATTGAGCCTGCAACCTGGGCATGTGCCCTGACTGGGAATTGAACCAGGGACCTCTTGGTTCATGGGTTAATGCTCAACCATTGAGCAACACTGGCCAGGCATCATAGACTTTCTTTTTTAAAAAAAATATATTTTTGTTGATTTCAGAAAGGAAGGGAGAGGGAGAGAGAGATAGAAACATCAGCGATGAGAGAGAATCATTGATCGGCTGCCTCCTGCATGCTCCCTACTGGGGATCAACCCTACAACTCAGGCATGTGCCCTTGACGGGAATTGAACCCAGAACCTTTCAGTCTGAAGGCCGACACTAACATAGACTTTCTTAATCCCATCCAAGGATGGGAAGGCTTCCTATCACAAAGCCTTGCTCTGGAGGGCATAGCTAGGACCAGGCAGCGAACCAGGAAGAGCAGTGCTGGTTCAATATAAGAAAGAGCTTTTGAACAGAGTAGTAGGTCTCCAATTTTGCTGGATTTTAGAATCATCTCAGGTGATTTAAGAAATCTGGCCTGGCCGATGTGGCTCAGTGGTTGAGCGTTGATCTAGGAATCAGGAGGTCACGGTTCAGTTCCTGATCAGGGCACATGCCTGGGGTTGCTTACTCCATCCCTGGTAGAGGGTATGCAGAGGGCATCTGATCAATGATTCTCTCTCATCATTGATGTTTCTATCTCTCCCTTCCTCTCTGAAATCAATAAAAATATATTTAAAAAATAATTCACATTAAAAAAAAACCCTGATGGCCAAGTTGTGCCCAGTCCAATTATAATCAGAATCTCTGTGGTGGGGTCTGGGCATTTTATTTTATATAAAGCTTCCCAGCTGATTCCACGGTGCAGCCAAGTTTGAGAACCAGTAAATTATTTTGCCACTTGAGAAGACTCTCTAAGTAGTGAACGCCTTGTCAGTGGAGATACTTTAAGCAAAAATAAACATTCTTCTTATTGATTCAAGCATACTAGCACTACTTAATCTCTCCTAAACAATATCTGTTTCTTTGCTATAATAGCCTCAAGTTTTAAGTTTATTTTATTATTTAGTAAATGGCTTTCCTTTTGATTCTCTGCTTTTTTCCTTTTGAACTGTACACTTGATAAGTCTAAGGGGTTCTCTGGTACAAATGTATTTGTAATTTAGAAGAGAAAAAGGTCAGAATGTATGTATAAGAGCTTCTTTGGCCTGCACAGTGACTGAAGTGGAATTTCACAATATGAGAGGATCCGGCTGGTTTACACAACCTATCAGGTCCTCAGTCATGCTGTTTGTAAATAAAATAGCACTTCTAGTTTTTAGTCACTTGTAATATAAGTGTTTTTCTTTCAGATCTCATTCATTTCCTCTGATGTCATACTGGAAAGATTAGGATGTCCAAAGATATTTGACCTTTCATCGGTAAATGGAATTTTATTATCATCTAAACGCCACTCTAAGCCTAAGTAAATAAGCTGAAACGGTAATTGAACAGATATGTTACAAGAAGTTATTTGTCTCTACCTCAACAGAAAATGAAAAAAATGTGGGTTTCTGACAGGGATCATGTTGGGGTGAGAGAAAGCAAGGTATGTGGTCCCCAGTGGACTCTATTTCATTACAAGCAAGGACTTCCTCAAGAAGGCACTAGCTGTTCATTAGCACTCAGCTGGATCATTGGTGGCCACTGCTTAGGCATTAGAGTTCATCGATGCAGCTTGTGCAGGCCCCAGGAGGAACATCTGTCTGTGGGAAAGTATTGTAATCATGCCATTTTCATATGAGCAAACAGGCCAGAAAAGTAACTCATCTAAGCCTTACACAGCTAGTAAATAAGATTGGAACCCTGGCTGTTTGCCACTCAAGTCTGTGCTGATAATTAGGATATAAATTTTCTAACCCTTTGGATTATAAATGTCAAGTCCCATTTTCAACTTGGGAAAAGCATCAATTAAGGATAGATAGCATCATCATCGTCATCACTTCCACCACCATCACACTGTCACCATCATCTACTATATTAGTTTCCTAGGACTGCCACTCCAGAGGGCCACAGACTGGGTGGCATAAACAACAGAGCCTGCCCGTTCTAGAGGCTCGATGTCCAAAATCAAGGTGTTGGCAGGGCTGAATCCTTCTGAAGACTGTGAGGAAGGATCTGATCCAGACCACTCTCCTTAACTAGTAGATGGCCATTTTCTCCCTGTGTCTTTTCATATTATCTTCCCTCTGTGCACGTCTGTGTCCAAATTTCCCCTTTTAATAAAAACACCAGTCATATACGGTGGATGAGGGTGAACTTATTGACCAGCTTAGACCATATGCTCTACGAGTGTCCTCAGAAGCCTAAGGATCCCCAAGCTGATATCCAGAGTTGTTGGGAAGAGAAAGAGGAGAAGGCCTGGGTGCATAAGTCACACACATCCACTACAGTGCTCTTGTTATTAGCACAATATCATCTGGACATTTTTGGAGTGGAGGGTAGGGAGGTTACATTGCTTACTACAGTCTGTACTCCATCATGAGGGATAGAGCCTTGTTAACAAACATCTTCCTCTCCTCTCTTCTTCACTCTCAACTTTGGTCTTTAAATCCATTAGTCTCTAATTAAACTTATACCTATCTTTTATATTGTCAATAGTTGGCAATGGATGGTTTTGTAATATTTCTTCTGAGTCTATTCCTGAATGTGTTGAAAATGTTTCACCTGAGTTACACTTTAAAAAGAAAAGTAAAACTGAGTTCAATCCGCATTTCAAACTACAGGAAGAAGATGTTAAAAACTTTAAGCAACCATCAGAGTAATCACAGTAATGGATCTCTGTCAGAAAAATGAGACAGAGTTAGAAAATGGTGAAAATAATCAAATTCCAAGCACAGAAGAATCTGAATTAAACTGTACTTATTCAGATGAAAGAAAGGAAAAGAACCATGTTTGTTGTCTCCTCAATATCAGTGACATTACGCTTGAACAAGATGAAAAAGCCAACAAGTTTGTTATCGGAACTGGATGGGAAGAAGCAGTAAGTATCTTCTTGAGTTAGGTGTCTTGCACATCAGTGTTGTGGTTGTTGTTTTATAAAGTGTTTTTTTATTTTTACCGATTTGAGAGAGGGAGGAAGGGAGAGGGAGGGAGGGAGGGAGGGAGGGAGGGAGGGAGGGAGGGAGAGAGAGAGAGAGAGAGAGAGAGAGAGAGAGAGAGAGAGAGAGAGAGGAGAGAAACATCAATTTGTTGCTCCACTCCTTTATGCAGTCGTTGGTTCATTCTTGTATGTGCCCTGACTGGGGATCGAACCCACAACCTTGGTATATCAGGATGACACTAACCAACTGAGCTACTCCGCCAGGGCCTGAACATCAGTGTTCAGATGCAAGCCTTTTTACTTTTTTCAAAAATAGTTACTATTACCAAAAAATGTGTAAAAAGTTAAATATAGAAATATCTGGAACAGAGGTAAAATATTAATGATGAGGATATTGAGTATTTATGTCACTCAGTATTGGCAAGCACAGTATTAAGTGCTTCATTCCACCTCACAGTAGTCCTATGTGGCAGGTATTATGAACAGCCTCACTTTTTGAACAAGGATACTAAGGCACCCAAAGGGTGAAATAATGTGCTGAAGATCACCCAGCCAGTGGCCAAGTTCTTCTGGACTCGAAACCTGAGCTCCTTAACTACTGTATTAAATTCCCCAAGAGACCTGAGGCTTCTGTCCCAGTGATTCTACTCAGAACCCTGTGGGTTTAACCGTAAACTATTCTTAGAATCAAGAATAGCATCCTAAATTTAGAACTAAAAAGTAATTTGATCTACTGTTTCTCAGGTGACACTTGGCAATGTCGCAACAAGGGGCAAGGGGAGGAGATGCTACTGGCATCTGATGGGTGGAAGCCAGGGAGTGCTGCTCCACATCCTACCAGGCCCAGGTCAGCACTCTAGCAAGGAATAATCCAGCCCTGTATAATTCAGGCTGCAATACCTGAACACCACGGACAGGGTGGCTTAAGCAACAGACAGTTATTTCTCCCAGTTCTAGAGGATGGGAGTTTAAGATCAGGTGCCAGCATGGTTGGGTTCTTGGTAAGGGCCCTCTTCCTGGTTTGCCCTCACATGGCTGCCTTTGTTGTGTACAGGGAGAGGGAGAGAGAGAGGGAGAGGGAGAGGGAGAGGGAGAGGGAGAGGGAGAGGGAGAGGGAGAGGGAGGAGGGGGAGAGGGAGAGGGAGAGGGAGAGGGAGAGGGAGAGGGAGAGGGAGGAGGGGGAGAGGGAGAGGGAGGAGGGGGAGAGAGAGAGGGAGGAGGGAGAGGAGGGGGAGGGGGAGGGGGGAGGGAGGAGGGGGAGAGGGAGAGGGAGGAGGGGGAGGAGGGGGAGGGGGAGGGGGAGGGGGGAGGGGGGGGGGGGAGGGGGAGGGGGAGGGGGAGGGGGAGAGGGAGAGGGAGAGGGAGAGGGAGAGGAGGGAGAGGGAGAGGGAGAGGGAGAGGGAGAGGAAGAGGTCCCTTGACTCCTCCTTTTCTTATAAGGACATTGATCCCATCATGAGGGCCCCATCCGTTTGACCTCATCTAATCCTAATCACCTAAAATGCTCCACCTCCAAATACCATCGTATTGGAGATTAGGGTTTAAACATGGGACTTTGGGAGGGACACAAACATACAGTTCTTAACAAGCCCCAAATAGTAGTTGTGCCAAGGTTGAAAAACCCCAGTCTACGTGGTTTATTTTATAAATGTGGAAACTGAGGGCAAGACAAGGCACAGTGATTCGCCCAAGTCCACTTGACAGTTGAAGTAATCATGTCTTCCAGAGCCCTCCTCTAATACTCTCTCTACTATACTGCCCCCACCACATGTATGACCTTCCAAACACACGTTCCCATGCCAGGTAAGTCAGGGCTACAGGCTGTCCTGTTTATGAATTTAAAACTTTCTAAGTTTAGATGGTTCAGTTTACTATGGAAGGTAACTGCTTTAAAATACACATCTAGCCCTGGCCGGTTTGGCTCAGTGGATAGAGCGTCAGCCTGCAGACTCAAGGGTCCCAGGTTCGATTCTGGTCAGGGGCACGTACCTTGGTTGCCGGCACGTCCCCAGTGGGGGGTGTGCAGAAGGCAGCTGATCTATGTTTCTCATCGATGTTTCTAGCCCTCTATCCCTCTCCCTTCCTCTCTGTAAAAAAAATCAATAAAATATATTTTTTAAAAAAAATAAAATAAAATACACATCTAAGGGCTGTTGGCATGGACCTGCCTCTGCTCATCCTCTCTCCCTCCAACGTGCCCCCCCACCCCCCGCCCCCCGCCCATGCAGCAGTCTCCTGGATATGGTAAACAGAGCCTGGAAGGACAAGAAAGTCTGTCAGGGGGGGACAAGGAAAAATAGTTTTGAATTGATTTTTATTTAATGTACATCTGAAAAAATATATAGTCAGCACATCAAAGTGGGCAATTACAAATCTATTGCTTAGTGTTTTAAACAACCTATTGCTAGTATTTCAGATTTAAAAATACTATTTATATGAGGCTAACATAGGTATTGAAAGTAAAAAAACAACAACAAAACAAACAACATCTGTTTAAAGAAAAATATTAGTTCAAATGGCCAAAATGGGAATGGGACCAAAATTGGAGCAGCCAATCAGCTGAGAGTAATATGCTGCTTTATTTTCAGGTTCGAGGTTGGGGAAAGACTTCTCCAACTGCTTGCATTTGGCCCAGAAAGAAACGTAAGAAGGCGAAGGTGGGAGAAAGTGTCAGCGGCTGCTTACTCTGTGTCAGTCTCTCCCAAGGGACTCCCGAGGCTGGGCCTCAGACTGAGGCTGGAAGCTTGGAGTCAAGGGCTCTGGCTGAGGCAGGCTCAGAGGAGGATCGAGGGGGCCCCTCCCAGACTCAGCTCCCCACTGGCTGCCCCGCCACTGCCTCCAGGAATATTAGCAAGATGTGCTCTCCCTCTCATACTCAGGGAGAGAAAAAAAGTCTGCAAATAAAGGAGTTTTTTTGGTGCATGGAAGAGTGGGCCATCCCAGAGACTGGTAGGGACCAAGACTCCAACAGCAGGACTGATCAAGGTCCCTCCATCTCAAACTCATTGAATTCCAAGGCCCTTTTAGTTCTCCCTCCCCTGAATTCTTCAGCCCCACATGGCGTGGATGTTCAGGTTAAGAAGAGTAAGAACTCGCTCGTGCAGCCAGAAGAGAAGGTGCTGAGTGTGAAAAAGGATGAGTGTGTGGCTTGTGCATATGGACTGAAAATAGTTGAAGGGAAAGATGGAAAGAGACCCTTTGAGCTGGCCAGTCACCTTAAGGTCAGCTGCGTGCAGCCTTTTCCTTCGCCAATGGTTGGGACAAACCTCCTGGCCAATCCAGAACTGGGCAGCCTGCACTGGTCCCTCCTGCCTAAGAAAAACCTGATGTGCCCTCCCAATCCCAATAGTGTTCACTGTCTCAGGACTATGCAGCTTTTGCAAAAACAGAAAGAGCAAAGCTACAAAGCCAAATTCAAAGCCAGGGAGCTGAGACCTCCCATGAACACCCAAAAGTGCATTCTCAAGGAGGCCAAGCAGGAAAACAGGCCCCATCCATTGGAGACCAATGTGTTCCCAAGACCTCTCTTGCCATCCCTCACAGTGAGCAGAGTTGTTATTCCCACCTCCACTCACAGATTCCTCTGAATTGCCACAATATAATTTCCTGGGAATAAGCACCTTTGGAAACTCATTCATTCTCTTTCTCCCCTACCCCCACCCCATTCTCTTCTAGTTTCTTCCGTTCCCTTCCCTCCCTTCCCCTTTTCCATCCTTTTCTCTCCCTCCTTGCCTTCTTCTCTGTCCATTTTTTTTTAAAAACAGAGGAAATAAACTCATTGTATGGATTTTGATTTATTCTCAGAACACCCATATTTATGTGTTACCTGCTTCAGTTGCTTAGTCATTTATAAAATGCAAACTAGTAATGCCAGTCTCAGCCTCTGCTTGCTTTATTTCTCTCCCGCTGGAAGCCAAGTGGATGGTGGGGAATCTGAAGAGGGTCTCTCATGGTGATGCCCCCAAATCACCCTTGAACCCACTGGAAAGGGCTCTTCTCACCCCAGTGCCTGAAGCTAAGTGTACTGGCCTTTTTTTGGACCAAATTATTACTTGTCTTTTTAATTTAAAGATTTTTTTTTAAGATATTAAAGTTGGTTTTTGTAGGGAGAGAGAGAGCGAAAGATTGACGTGAGAGGGAAACATCGATCTGCCTCCCACATGCCCCCCACAGGGATGGAGCCTACAACCTGGGCCTATGCCCTGACTGGGAATCAAACTGGCAACCCTTCGGTGCATGGGACTATGCCCAATCAACTGAACCACACTGGCCAGGGTTTCCTGATATTTCTAAACCGGCAGATATCTGTCAGTTGCCTCACTTTTTTCTTGCAACAAAGATTTGAAACATTGTTTCAATAGAAAACTCCAAACCGTGTCTAAATGAATATATTTGCATTCAGATGAAATATCTGTATATTATACCCATGAGGATACTATACCCATTGTATGCTATATGTCCAAAGTGACATAAATCCATGGGTTTACCATGTTTATTGTATCCTAAGTGTCCAAAGTGATATATCTTTGTATTGTAGCCTCATGCTAGTCTCTGTGTCTGGGAAATTTTAGCCACTGTTCCACAAAACCTGCTTGGAAAGCAGGTTAAGAATCATTATTTGAGAAAAAAGTCACTGTGATTATTGTCACCCCACATGCTTCCTCCTGCCTTACTCTGCGTCTAATTGGGAACTCTACAACTCCAGACAGACGCTTACAGAATGGGGCTGTTACATTCTCCCTTCCCCTGATCCTTCTCCCCACTCATTTTACTCCAATGCATATTTCCTGAAGTTGTCTATAAATTAAACATTGTTTGTAAACGAGTTATCGTTTAAATGCCAAGTGACAATGCTATGTAGAGAAATGCTCTGGAAAAAAACCACCACTTTGTAATGAATAACCATTTAGCTGCCCTGTAATTACAGTTTGAATTTGCTTTCGTTAGGTTGTACTTGCACTCTGTACTTTCCATTCCCTAAATGATGACTGCATTTGTAAACATCTGCTTTCTGTAATTGCTCTTTAGTTTAGGGTTTTTGTTTTGTTTGGTTGGTTTGTTTCTTTGAAACACCAGAAATACAGGAATGATTATAGTACAGCATTCATTAAAAGGTATATTTTGCCTACTTAAGTTGGACACTTCTTTAAAGTCTAGAAGCAATTTGTAGCTTCCATCCATCCCTTCTTCCCTGAATGAAGGAAACATCTGGATTCCATCCTCAAGAAAAGACCTTGATTTCCCACTGTTTCTTGACAGTGGGGGTGTTGGAGCTGGTACTGTTTGAGGACAATCTAGGAATGGCAGCCTGCCCACCTAAGTCAGTGGTTTTCCAAGTCCCCTGTACAAACAGCAGAATAATAAGCTCAATATGTAAAAGAGTCAAAAGTATTTGATTGGGAGGGAAGGGTATGGACCACCATGAGTGAGCAATGGAGCCCCACCTACTTAGCCTAGATACATTTACTTTTGAGATATTTTTAAAAATATGTTTTTATTGATTTCAGAGAGAAAGGGAGAGGGGAGACAAGGAAACATCAATGTGAGAGAGAAACATCCATCAGTTGCCTCTTGCATGCAACCCAACTAGGGACTGAACCCTCAACTTGGGCATGTGCCCTGACTGGGAATTGAACTGGTGACCTTTCAGTGTACAAGACAATGCTCAAACAACTGAACCACACTGGCCCAACTACTTTTGAATTCTTGAGGCAGTTTAAAAACACTGATATGTTACAACTTAATATTTCTTTCTTATGAAAAATCCTTTTGATGAGATGGAGTTATAAATTCTACAGATTTGGGGGTAAACACCTATCCTATATAATAAAAGGCTAATATGCAAATAGACTAAACAGCAGAACAACCAACCAACCAGTCACTATGACGTGTGCTGACCACCAGGGGTGTCAGCAGGTGCGAGTGGGGCCTGGAATCATCAGCACGTGGGAGAGCAGCAGGAGCAGGGCTGCTGGCAGCCAGGGAAGGGGGGTGTGGCAGGAGGGGCTGGGCAGGGGTGTGAAGGATGGGCCAAGACCCGCCCCTGTGCCCACTGCAGCCTTGTGGCCCACAGTTCCTTTCAAGGTGCACGAATTCATGCACTGGGCCCCTAGTATAGGAATAATTTAGAGTTAACAGGAAGACCAGTCTGAACAAAAAATGGGCCAATATACGAAAGATTCATAGTATCCATCTTTTTGGGAAAATAATTAATTTGGTCAACAAAATATTGAGTGGAACATTCCTCTGTGAATGTATAAGAATGTCCCCTTGGCATCCCTTTGTTAGATAATTTTATTCATGCACCTGATGAAGTCCCTTTAGGGATACGATTTGCATTGGCCCAGGTTTCATTTGTTTCTCTGTGGATAAAGTCATTGTAGACCTTGTCCCAATTTCCATTCAGAAAATTGGGACGCCCAAACTGGTCGTTGATGTCCAAGACTAGATAAAGGCTAAATGTTTACTAGAATGCAGGCCTCATCAGGGTTCTAGGTCACTAAGAAAACTCACAGGGGAAATAAGGAGTCAAGCATGTTATAATACAGGTCCCAGTGGCCTTCTTCCTATCTCAAGGAGATAGGTTTTGGTTCCTTTAGTCCTTTCCAAACCAAGCATGAAGAGCTCTGTGTTTCATCCCTCAGTCTATTATTTTTGGATGTCTCATGAGTTAAACTTTACAAAACTCCCATTTTTCTTGTAAATTTAAAAATCACAAAGCAGAATTGGGGTAGCGTCCAACACAGGGCCTGAGGTCACATTGGGTGAGGCAGGGTTGAGGTCTGGGAATGCTGCTGAGGGTCTAGGTGAGGCAAAGGAAGGGCCAGAGGGGCAGGAGATGTTGAACAGACAGAATGTCAACCTGACAGAGAGATGAGGGGGTGACATGTTTGAAGGGCAAGGGGGAGATTTTAAATCTATTCTGATTCTAGACCTGGCTACATACATTTGGACAAGTACGTAGGACTTTGGATACTCAGGGAGACTTTCCCTAATTTTTAGCTTTACTCTCTTTTCATTCTGGACTTTGCCTCTATTGTGGAATTAACCTGTACTTCAAAGATCATGCTATAAAATGATTTGAACCCAGAATCAAATTTGCTTTCAATCTCCCCCTCTAAGTGTAGGAGCCTCAGGACCCAGTGAGACCACAGAAGCCCAGCCCATCTCCCTGTGCGTGCCCCTAGCTGGCCAAGCAGGCCAAGCTGCACAGCTGGTGGCCTCACATCTGGGGCTTTTGGGGTGTCTGGACTTGGGCCCACTTGGTACTATGGTTTAGGGGCTCCTGAGAAGCAAGGTGGGGAAGTAAGAAACAGAGGGGCTCCTGTGGCCATGACAGAGGACAGACCAAGGCAGTTGCTGGTCCCACAGGGAACACTTTTCTGCTGTCTGCTAGGCCCGTGGTCGGCAAACTGCGCTCGTGAGCCACATTCGGCTCTTTGGCCCCTTGAGTGTGGCTCTTCCTAAGCCTTAGGAGTACCTTAATTAAGTTAATAACAATGTACCTACCTATATAGTTTAAGTTTAAAAAATTTGGCTCTCAAAAGAAATTTCAATCGTCGTACTGTTGATATTTGGCTCTGTTGACTAATGAGTTTGCCGACCACTGTGCTAGGCTACCTGGGAGCCATGAGAGACTCAAGGTGATGCTCTCGCTGCCCAGGCTAATCTACTAGCTGGTCACACAATACAACAATTCCACTTGTTTTCAAGGCATTGCTGTTTCTAAAAGTTCAAACCTCCTTTGGGGCATTATCTCTTTATCCTGAGTGTATGCATGTGCATCAGGGATCAAGTTCTTCTGTAACTCCAAGAGAATCCAATCAGAGAGATTGCGTTTAGTCAGGCCAGGTAGAGTCTGGAGGGTCCAATATGTCTCCCAGGTGGGGGACAGTTGGAGCACTGGGTGGAAAATACCACATAAGGCAGGAAGGAGGGCTGGAGAATGTCTTTCCTGTGGTGAGGATGATGAGGTATGTAAAACAACAACAGATTTGTGGTTTTCCTGAATGTACTAATCAGATCAAATATGAATAGCTGAATCATTTATTTCCCTTAATGGATAAGTGACTTCAAAGTTGTATAGAAAGCCTATGGGCATGGTGAGTTGTTATTTGGACCTTGAAGGATCTTCAATCTTTAATAGTCCTCACAGCTCAGCTTTGTAACTTGTTGAACTAAGGCTCTTTGCTTGGGACCCTGTTAATCAATCCATGGGCTATCTTTAGCCCCTGGTTCTTTTCTTCATCCTGTTTTGCCTGAATTTTCCCTGTACCAGTCTAAGTACCAGCACTCTGTTGCCTGGCTGTGGTGTCTCAGTGGATTGAGCGTTATCCCATAGACCAAGAGGTCCTGGGTTCAATTCCCAGTCAAGGTACATGCCCAGGTTGCAGGCTCAATCCCCAACAGGGAGCAAGCTGGAGGCGGCCGATTAATGATTGTCTCACATTGTTGTTTCTTTCTCTCTCTCTCTCTCTCTCTCTCTCTCTCTCTCTCTCTCTCTCTCTCTCTCTCTCTCTCTCCCTCTCTCCCCCTTCATCTTGGAAATCAATAAAAAATAATTTTTTTAAAAACAGCGAACTTGGAAATATTCTATAAACTAGTCTTATTTTCAGCACCACAGGAGGGTTATGACTATTAACCAAGTCCTCAGTGTGAAAGGGCTGTTAGCAATTTCATTTGTTTTAATCTGCATGTTGCTGTGAAGAAAACTCTAATCTCTGAATAAAACATTTAATTCAGGACAAATACCACTGGTCCTGATACTCTTCACTTGTGAAGGTGCAATTTCTGTGGCAATTTACCCAAATCCTTTTGACTGATTTCCCTAATGTAATTTCAGGTAAATGGAATGTCAGAGAGACACTTGTCATTATGGTAGCTATTTAGAGAACTGTAAATCTGAAGACCTACTACTCAGGTACATATCTTGTTAGAGAACAGTGATTTAAGTAGTTTAAAAATATACCACATCTTAACCAAAAAAGGTGAAAAAGAGAAAAAATTGACACTAGATTACAATTCATTAATAGTACCAGACTTCAGTATAGCTAAACAAAAATTATCATGAACTGAAATAGACAATATAAATAACTCCTAAAGCATAACTTGCCAAAGTTTGGATGGTTT